GCAGGCTTCCCGCGGAGCTGGGAGCCCGATGCGGGGCTCGATCCCAGGACCCTGGGATCATGACCTGAGCCGAAGGCAGGCGCTTAACGACTGAGCCACCCAGGCGCCCCATATGTCTTTATTTCTTAATGGAATTCTTAACTTAAACCTGTGCTGGACTTTCCTATTCTATCCTCTGCGACTCTTAATCACCCAGAGTTTTCATTTTTTTGTGCTACATTATGGACGATACTTTCAAATCTGAGTTCTAGTTGACATATTCTCTTCTTCAGCTTTGTCATTGGCTGTTAAACCCCTTACTTTGCAGGTTTTATTTTTTAAACTCTGTATTACAGAAAGTTTCAAATGTGTAAAAGTATACATAATAAGGAATTTCCCTCCTTCCCTCAGTACCTGGCATCCAGGTTCAGCAGTTACCAACCTCCTAATAGAAGGCAGTTGGATTCTTTTATCTGTTTCTGCATTCAGTCTGTTGTCAGTCTGTTGTGATGTCACATATCCTGTATCCTCTGGAAAACTCACACTATGTTCCTGCAAGAACGAGAGTAAAAAAGGCAAATAACATCTTACAGTTATTATGAAAATAGTTTGACTTTGCAGATTCCCTGAAATAGTCTTAGGTTCCCTAGACCCCACTTTGAGAACTGCTCTTCAGAAGGATGATAAGCACTTTAAGGCTTTTCTTCATATGGCTTCAGGGGTAGGTTTTTGAAACTTGGTGTCTGGTCTTTATAACCAGTAAGAAACCTCACTGAAAACTCAGCAATAGCTTTCCTTTTTCATTCTGCCTTTCCTTCCTTTCTTTGTTTCTGGAAACTGGAAATTGTTTTTTCTTTTGAGTTCATCTATGAAACAGATGTCTTTATTATTATAATTTATCTAATATTTCTAGATGTGTTTGTAGTGAGGGTGGTAGTAGTGACTCTCTGCATCATCTTAGTCTTTGGTATTGACATAAATGCAGGATTATGTGTCTTATTATTTTTTGTTATCATAGTATCTGACACCGTTCTATAAATACAGTGGTAAACATTTTGGGAAGTTACACTACTGAGGGTAAAATAGAAATATACTGACCTATTAAAATGAGTCTCACATTATTTTACTAGTAAGCTAGGGAGGGGTAGTGTAAAAATGCTTATATGCTTCAGAATAAACCAGAGGTATCTGAAATAATTAAAAGGGAAATCTGAATACCACTTAGGAGATAAGATTAAATAGGTATATGAGTTATGTGTTGCAAAGAGCACAGATGGACTAGATTATTTTAAATATTATATATAATTTTTACTTGTTTTTTTAAGACTCCCTTGAAATTTCTATTGGGCACTTGTCATTTCTGATCTTGCATTTACATCTTTTTTTTTTCTTGATAGGAATATGCGCTTTCTGGTTGGAATTTGAATAATATGCCTGTCCTAGAGCAGTCTGTTCTTGCACATATTAATGTAGACATCTCTGGTATGAAAGTGCCATGGCTCTATGTAGGAATGTGTTTCTCTTCTTTCTGCTGGCACATTGAAGATCACTGGAGTTATTCCATCAACTACTTACACTGGTATGTATGATCTTTGTTACGTGCTTAGGAACCTTTTAAAGGTATAATGATACTAGGTGATAAATTAGCAAGAACTGAATTTAAAAGTATTTCCTACCCAAAGTAGGATAATATATTGAGAAGTATAGAAGGTCCTAAGGGTATATACATCTCAGACACCTTCCCTTTTAAAGTATGTGCATGCAACATGCAGTGGAGCCTGGAGTTTTAGACCAAATGATACTTAATTTGGTATACATGAAAATTACTTTGATATATCTTTTGATATGCAGGGTACGATTTTAAAGGATGTATAATTTTAAAAGGTATATATAATTAAGATCTGACTAAACCTTTAGGATTGGAAATTATTAAATGATTTTTTTCTTTTTAATAACATTTTCCCTAAAAATGCCTGTTACATGCATATTCATTAAATTCTTTGGCTGAATTTTTTTGTGTCTCCCCCACAGCTTTTATTTACTTGCCCAGTTCCTTGTCCATTATTATATCATCAATTAAATGATATTTTTCTCCATTTGGATGATACTACTCAAATCACACTATGTAGTACTGGAAAACTATAGTGATTTTATTTCTCTGCTTCATCACTGTGCTGTGTAATACTAGCTACATGTGGTTATTTAAATTAGTTAAGATTAAGTAAAATTAAAAATGTACTTCCCCAGTTACAGGAAACATTTCAAGTGCTTTTTTTTTTTTTTATTCATGAAAGTCAGAGAGAGAGAGAGAGGCAGAGGCAGAGGGAGAGAAGCAGGCTCCCCACCTAGCAGGGAGCCCGATGCGGGACTCGATCCCAGGACCCTGGGATCATGACCTGAGCCGAAGGCAGACGCTTAACCATCTGAGCCACCCAGGCGCCCCTCAAGTGCTTTATGGTCACTGGTGACTAGGGCCCTATGTCTTGGCCAGCACAGACATAGAACATTCTCATTGTTGCAGTAAGTTCTGTTGGAGACAGCAGTGGATTGTATTTGGATTAGGAAATTCAGCTATTTTATAAATAGCATGACTCACTAAATCCGTTTCCTAGGAGTACAACTTAGTATCATAAATGAACTCTAGTCCACTAAAGTCTAGTGCATTAATGATGCCAAGTTTTTGGTCCTTAAGATTTGTAGATAGAACTCTTTTCAAGGTTTCAACAATTTCTACCCTTGCCTTAGTTTTTTGGATAGTAAAATCCAACTTAATGAAGTTATGAAAAGGTATTCTACAGAGTGTTGACTTCAACTTTGAGCATTGTGGGGATAATTGGAATGTCCAGTAGACTTGGGAAACAAGGTAGTATGTCAGTATCCTTTGGAATGATGCTTATTTTTCATATAGTGTCTTTCCTTTTTGAAAAAACTATTTAGTGATCCACCTTAAAGAGTTCATGCGCTTTGAATTGCATTAATTGAATTAATTAAATTAATTGATTTAGAATTGAATTAATTCTAATAGTAGTGATAAGTATGTATTTACCTATTTATATCCTTTGCCTTACCTCCTATTATGAACAGATTTATGAGTTGGTTTGCCAAGATTCAGGGTATATAATCTGTGACCATGGAAGAAGATAAAATTAATTATAGTTTAGAGGATTCGAATGAGAGACCCTGGCCTCATTGGTACCATGCTCACCTAGCTAAACAGTACTTCCTTTTGCTAGGGGGGAGCCAAAGACATGGTATGGTGTGCCATCTCATGCTGCCGAACAACTGGAGGAGGTGATGAGGGAGCTGGCTCCTGAGTTATTTGAATCCCAGCCTGATCTCCTGCATCAGTTAGTCACCATCATGAACCCCAATGTACTGATGGAGCATGGTGTGCCTGTGAGTCTTACTGTGTCTCCTTTTAGTATTTTTATTTTAAGGTTATGTTAGCTTTTCATTAGAAACACAACATATCTTTTGTTTTATAACTGGAAGCAAAAGATTATTTCATCTTCTAGCCAAATTAGAATTTATATTCTGAAGGGAACAGCATTTCTTTGGTAAGAAAGAGGTGTTTTAAAGTATTAATCATACTTTATGTATAGCTACCTATTAAAATAGCCTTCTGTTTTCAGTGAACCATTATATCCTGGGTTTTTTTTTTTTTAAAGATTTTATTTTATTTATTTGACAGAGAGAGACAGCTAGAGAGGGAACACAAGCAGGGGGAGTGGGAGAGGGAGAAGCAGGCTCCAGGCCGAGTAGAGAGCCCGATGCGGGGCTCGATCCCAGGACCCTGGGATCATGACCTGAGCCGAAGGCAGACGCTTAACGACTGAGCCACCCAGGTGCCCCATATCCTGGTTTTGACAAAAATCTTATATTCTTTATTATCTAGTGTATATAATAATACTCCGTATTATTTATTATCTGTATTATCTTTGTTTAACCAGAGTGTAAGTATTTTAAGTGATAGTTGTAGTAACTAATACTTATCCTTTGGAGATCATATTTCATTAAAGATTTCACAGCTTTCTTTTTATATGCGATAATGAAATACTATGAATACCTTTTTTACTTTTTTTTAGAAGATTTTATTTATTTTAGAGAGAGAGAGCACACAAGCATGAACGGGGGGAGGGGCAGAGGTAGAGGGAGAGAGAGAATCTCAGGCAGACTCTGCGCTGAGCATGGAACCTGATGTGGGGCTGGATCTCACGATCCTGAGATCATGACCTCAGCCGAAATCAAGAGTCGGATGCTTAACTGACTGAGTCACCCAGGCACCCAGTGTTAGTTTGTCTTTAAAGATTTTATTTATTTATTTGGGAGAGAGAGAGCGTGCGTGCCCCGACGCACATGTCCACCGAGCCAGGTGGAGGGGCAGAGTGAGACGCTGACTCCCCACTGAGCAGGGAGCCCAATGTAAGGCTCAGTCCCAGAACCCTGGGAACATGACCTGAGCTGAAAGCAGAGTGAATTCATACTAGAATCTGGGATTTTTCTAAAGACACATAGTATTGGGGTGGCTGGGTGGCATGCACACACTCTCTCTAAAATAAGTAAAGACGTAATATTATAAAAATAAGTGGGATCCAGGAAAACTGATTTTGGGGATATCTCCATATAACATATCTAATTAATTAATTTCCAAAAAATTATGTAAGAGTAGGAGGAAGTTCCATTCTTTAATGTTACTGACAACACGAGGATAAAAGGAATAAAAGAAAAAGTCTCTTAATTGTAAAAATTTTATCAAGTTTCAGAAACTAGTAGCCCGATGAGAGTAACGTTTTCTCTTTGAGAATTTGTCTGCTACTTCTTGTTGTGAATTATTGTATTTTGTTATCATTGACTATTTTAAGAAGGAAAGAGTTCAGGCTGCTTCTTAAACCCTGATACTATTTTCTGGTATGTGTAGGTGAATGCTTTACTGTTTTTAATTTTAGAAAATGCTTCTGAAAGTGACTGATAAAATCTCTTCCTCTTTTTTGTTGTTTTTATTTTGTTTTGTTTTGTATCCCTGTTCCCACTTTGCATTTAGGTGTACAGGACCAATCAGTGTGCTGGCGAGTTTGTTGTGACATTTCCTCGTGCCTATCATTCTGGATTTAACCAGGGCTACAACTTTGCTGAAGCTGTGAACTTCTGTACTGCTGACTGGGTCTGTTCTATAGCAAGTAGCTGTTGTACGTCTACTAACACTCCTGGAAAATGCGTCTTACTGGCCATATTTACTTAGCTGGGGAGGGGAGGATTCATGAATATTTCAGTAGAGACTGTAATGGCTATTGTAATTTAGAAAGTTCGGTTAGAGTTTCCATTACAGTTTTTATTTGGAAGATTTTATAGTTCTTTACTTCTCATCCATTCATTCTTTTCCTCATTCTGTTTGAATTTTAAATGAGCACTCGGTAGTTTTTAAATCTTTCTTTTCTGAGAGACTGTCGTTCCTCTAGTCTTTGCTTTCTCTGAGCAACTTAAGGATTTTATAATGACAGCTAGATCTTTTTTTTTTTTTTGACAACCAGATCTTTTTAAGAATTAATTTTACCCATATTTTCAAATATCTAACTCAGATTTTTATTTTAAAATACCCCTTTATTACTTTCCTTCTTATAGACAATTAGATGATTTTATTCTTCCTATCGTTTTATGTTTTTTTGTATTTCTTTTAAGAAACTTACTTTAAAGAGTAACTATAGTATTGAGATCTCTATGGGATATACTTTTGTTTAAATGATAATGCCAGGGGTGCTTGGGTGGCTCAGTCGGTTAAGCATCTGACTCAGCTCAGGTCATGATCCCGGAGTCCTGGGATCAAGTCCTGCATTGGGCTCCCTGCTCAGCAGGGAGTCTGCTTCTCCCTCTCCCTTTACCCCTCCCCCTGCTCACGCTCTCTCGCTTGCTCTCTCTCAAATAAATAAAGTCTTTTAAAAAATAAAGTAAATGATAATGCCAGTGATTGCTATTTTGCTTTTTTGTATGAGGTAGATATCAAAAAGTAACTAGTTATGGGGCGCCTGGGTGGCTCAGTTGGTTAAGCGACTGCCTTCGGCTCGGGTCATGATCCCGGAGTCCTGGGATCGAGTCCCACATCGGGCTCCCGGCTCAGCGGGGAGCCTGCTTCTCCCTCTGACCCTCTCCCCTCTCATGCTGTTTCTCTCTCTCTCTCTCTCTCAAATAAATAAAAATTAGAAAAAAAAAAAAAAGTAACTAGTTATGATTATGTCATGTTGGGAAAAGACTGCAAATTTATGATACATTCTTTGACTTTATTTTTCCTTTAGTGATGCTCTATTTTTGGTCTCCTCTCAACATTTGGGGAGATACTTATTTATCTATCTATATATCTATTTATCGATTGATTGAGAGAGAGAGCACCCAGAGGGAGAGAGAGAATTTTATCAGGTTCTACGCTGAGCACAGAGCCTGACACGTGGCTTGATCTCATTGAAGACAGGACCCTGAGATCACAACCTGAGCAAAATCAAGAGATGCCAACCGACTGAGCCACCCAAATGCCCCAAGGGGGAGATATTTTTAGTAGTACTGGGTCTTACGTTTTCTATAGGCACATTAATATATTAAATTTCATGAGTCATGATTTCACGATTTTTGTTTCCTTGGTTAATATGAATGACATGATGAGTAACCTTATTTGATCTAGTAATTTAAAACATTATTAGGCTTAGGAAGCAGTATGAGCAAGACTGAGCTTAGGACTTTCCCTTGGGTTTGAGGTCTATTTTTTAAAATTCAACTAACATTTATTAGAATTTATGATTTACTTCCTGTCTAGATGTAGGGTAGGAAATAGAGATAATTCAGAAATGAATTAGAGATGGTTTCTGCCTATAATGTGTTCGTTATTATTGATGTGTGGCCTTGGGCAGCTCTTTTAATTTCACTGAGCCTGTTTTTTACCTTGTATATGAAGATACTAAGATACGCTTAATAACCTCAGACAAGTGAGATGATATATGTAGAAGTCCTTGAAACTCTTTAGAAGAAGGGTGTGATAGAAATGAAGAGTTATAGCAACTTTAGATTTAGAATATAGTGATGGTACTAAGTTTTATAAGCCACAATGGATAATCAGTTCTATTTTATATGGCTTGTTTACAGATTGTAATAATTAAGATCTGCATATTTTCTTGCCATTGTTAATAAGCTATATGAAAAATGTTTAACAAGTAAATATTTATGAATTAGGAAATGGAAGAGTATATTGTTAATAGACAAAGTAATCCCTGATCATAAGTTCAGTATCATTATTTTCTTTGGAAAGATTTTTTCTTTAAAAGAGTATGTAGGGGCGCCTGGGTGGCTCAGTCAGTTAAGCATCCGACTCTTGATCTCGGCTCAGGTCATGATCCTCAGGGTCATGAGTTCAAGCCCCGCATTGGGTTCCACACTGGGCGTGGAGCCTACTTAAAAAAAAAAAAAAAGTATGGGAATACTGCTTGATTTAGAGATAGTCTTATATTCTCAAAATGTGATTCCTGTGATTGTTTTCTGCCTTTCTCAAAATAGAGGTGAATTCTTAAAGGTTTTTAAAGGTCCATTTTCTTATTTTTTCTCTGTTATGTCATAGTTTTCAAATATAAACTAAAACTCCCATTTAAATTACCCAGGTTTTTCCACTGGACAGGAGGATAGAAGTTGGGGAAAGAGAGAGAGAGAGGAGGGAGGAGGGATGGAAGAAGTGTGTGTATATATGTGTGTGTGTTTGTGTACAGGCATACCTTGTTTTATTGTACTTTGCTTTATTGTACTCCACACATACTGCATTTTTTACAAATTGAGGGCTTGTGGCCACCCTGTGTCAAGACAGCAAGTCTGTTGGCACCATTTTTCCAATAGCATTTATTCATTTCATGTCTCTGTGTCACATTTTGTGAATTCTGGCAATATTTCATACTTTTTCATTATTATTTGTTATGGTGATCTGTGATTAGTAATTATGACTTGTTGAAAGCTCTCATGATGGTTAGCATTTTTTAGCAAGAAAGTATTTTTGAATTAAGTTGTGTACATTGTTTTTTTTAGGCATAATGCTATTGCACACTAAATAGACTAGTATAATGTAAACATAACTTTTATATGCACTGGAAAACCAAATCATTCATTTTACTCACTTTATTGTGATACTTTATTTACGGTGGTCTGGAACTGAACCCATAGTATCTCCAAGGTATGCCTCTATAGTATAACTAGTATCATAATTTGGCTTAAAGCTTGGTGGGTAAAGAATTTTCAGAATTTATCTTAAAGGGTGTATCTGATTTATGAAAAGTGATCATCTAGTGACTTGTTTATTCACTTAGGGAGAATAAAGTAGTGATTTCACTTGGATTCTCTTTAGGCCAGACTGATGTTTTTAAAAGAATTTCTAGATGCTAAAATGTAAATCATCTTTTGCTTTGGTTCTTATAATAAAAGTCAGTTAATGTGAATTGCTGAAATAGTGCTTTTTTCCTCCTCTTTTCTTTCTTTTTCTTTTTTTTTTTTTTAACTTTTAATAACATCTCTGCTTTTTGGTCTGTGGAAACCTCCATGCTGCATATGTCCACTTAACCCTTTATTACCTAAATGTTTTTTCTTCTTTTTTTAAAGGCAGCTTATGTTAAAGTGGTCTAAAAGAGTTTGCTGCTTCATTTAAATATCAAGGAACTTGTACTTCTTGTTGTACATAATGAGTAGAAAATCAATAGCTTAGGCTAGAAGCTTAGCATCTCAAAATTATGGAAATTTTCTGTGGGAAGGCCTTTGAAATTCCTGCTGGGCCATAAAGATTTAATATTTACAGTTCCTCTTATGTTCAAATGGAGTTTGATATTCTGCCTTTTTTATAATAAAACAGGATCTGTAGGCTAAATAGTGGTTTTGTTCTGGAAGATGTTATAAGCAAGTAATTTAATTTGACAATCTTGTTTACAGTTGCCCATTGGACGTCAGTGTGTCAATCATTACCGACGGCTGAGGCGCCATTGTGTCTTTTCACATGAAGAACTCATTTTCAAGATGGCAGCAGATCCAGAATGCTTAGACGTGGGGCTGGCTGCCATGGTGTGCAAAGAATTGACTCTCATGACTGAAGAAGAGACAAGATTAAGGGAGTCTGTGGTACAAATGGTGAGTTTGTGGAGCACATTTTCTGTATTTGATACTGCTCATGGAATATACTAAAAATTGAACTTGTAGAAAGAATCCATTTTCATCTTTGATTCCTTTAGAAGTTGAATACAAAAATCACAAGTTTGGAGGGGTGTGTGTGTGTGTGTTTAAAGATTTATTTATTTTAGGGCGCCTGGGTGGCTCAGTTGGTTAAGCGACTGCCTTCGGCTCAGGTCATGATCCTGGAGTCCCGGGATCGAGTCCCACATCAGGCTCCCTGCTCAGCAGGGAGTCTGCTTCTCCCTCTGACCCTCCTCCCTCTCATGTTCTCTGTCTCTCATTCTCTCTCTCACAAATAAATAAAATCTTAAAAAAAAAAAAAAAAGATTTATTTATTTTAGAGAGAGAGAGTAAGTGCACAGTGGGGAGGGGCAGAGGGAGAGGGAGAGAGAATCTCAAGTACACTCTGCTGCTGAGCCACGGGGCTTATCTCACGAGATCAAGTCCTGAGCCGAAATCAAGAGTTGGGCACTTAAGCAACTACGCCACCCAGGCACCCTGGAGAAGGTATATTTTCATACTTGCTATTTTGGGTTCTACAAATTGAAAAGTTTTAGGAATCTTTATGTCACCTCTAGATTTTAAAAAATGGAATCCTGTCATGTAGAATTTCTTACATATATATTTTTTTAAGCCTTCTACATACAGTATTATTTCTTTAAATGAGAAAGTTCAAATCCTTTTCTCTGAGCTTTGAAATTGAATAAAAGTTGTGTTTCTGTGATTCCAGCTGTCAGAGTGCATTGATCTGGTGGTTTGGTTTTATTTTTTTCCTCTTTCTAAGTAATTTAATGAGTAGGAAGTACTGAATAACCAAGTGTTGGGATTTTTTTTTTCTTTTTTTCCCCCCAGTTTGGAAGCCAGTTGGATTTCTGGTGGAGTTCTTGATAATGGTGGTGGCTGGGCAGTGGGGTGGCCATACCCTCCCCACAAGTGTTGGGATTTTGAATGCTTAGAATAAACTAAACCTTTGTCACAATCAAGATAATGAACATATCACCTTCAGATTTTTCTTATGCCCCTTTATGATCATTCCCTTTTGTCCCATTCCCCCTCTTCACTACTCCTACTCCACCCCCTTCGAGGAAAACACCAATCTGCTTTCTTTAGTGTGCCTTTTAAAAAAGTGTATTATTTAAATTGAGTCATACAGTTTATAGTTTTTGTTTAGTTTCTTTCACTTAACATAATAGTGTTTGAGATTCATTTATGTTATTCCATGTATTAATTGTTTATTCTTTTTAATTGCCAAGTATTATTTATTGTATGGACCACAGTTTATCTCTTCATTTAAGAATGGACATTTTAATTTTTTTAACTTTTGCCTGTTACAAATTAAGCTGCTGTGAACATTTCTGAACAAATTTCTATGTTGACATATACTTTCATTTCTCTTGGATAAATACTAGGACTGGAATGGCTGGGTCATAGGACATGTGTGTGTTTAATTTCTTCTGAAAACTGCCAAACTGTATTCCAAAACAGTTTTTTTTTTTTGTAAGATTTTATTTATTTATTTGAGAGAGAGCACATGAGAGGGGGGAGGGTCAGAGGGAGAAGCAGACTCCCTGCCGAGCAGGGAGCCCGATGCGGGACTCGATCCAGGGACTCCAGGATCATGACCTGAGCCAAAGGCAGTCGCTTAACCAACTGAGCCACCCAGGCGCCCTCCAAAACAGTTTTTTTTTTTTTAAAGATTTTATTTATTTATTTGAGAGAGAGAATGAGAGACAGAGAGCATGAGAAGGAGGAAAGTCAGAGGGAGAAGCAGACTCCCTGCCGAGCAGGGAGCCCGATGCGGGACTCGATCCCGGGACTCCAGGATCATGACCTGAGCCGAAGGCAGTCGCTTAACCAACTGAGCCACCCAGGCGCCCCAAAACAGTTTTTATAGTTCTGTGAGGAATATGAGAGTTCCACTTGTCCTGCAATCTCACTGACATTTGGAATTTTAACTTTACTTTTTTTTTTTCTTTTTAAAGATTTTATTCACTTATTGGACAGAGAGAGTGAGTGAGCGAGAGAGAGTGCGCAAGCTGGGGGAGAGGCAGAGGGAAAGAAGCAGACTCCCTGCTGAGCAGGGAGTCCAGTGCAGGACTCGATCCCAGGACCCTGGGATCATGACCTGAGCCGAAGGCAGACATTTAACCAACTGAGCCACTCAGGCTTCCCCAACTTTAGATATTCTAATAGGTTTGTTGTAGTAGTTCATCATGGCTTTAATTTTAATGACTAATGATGTTGAGTACCTTCTAGGTGCTTATTTGCTGTCTATATCTTTGAGGGAAGATTCTGTTCAAATCTTTTGCCCAACTTTTAAAACTTGGGTTGTTACTAAATTTTGAAAGTTCTATATGTAGTCTAGATACACATTCTTTACCAGATAGGTGATTTGGAAGTATTTTCTTCCAGTCTGTGGCTTGTCTTTTCCTTTTCTTAATAGTATTGTTTTGAAGAACAGAAGTTTCTTTGGTTTATCAGTTTTTTCTTTTATGGATTTTATGGCTTTTGGCATAGCCAAAAGGCTATATCTAAGAAATCTTTGCTTAACTCAAGATCACAAAGTTTTTCTCCTATGTTTTCCAGAAATTTTTTAGTTTTAGCTCATACATTTATGTGTATGGTCTATTTCAAGTTAATTTTTGTATGTGGAATGAGTTATGGATCAAAGTTTATTTTCTTGCATATGTCACTTACGATTTCACGCCCACTTATGAGAATACTAATTTGAGATCTCCTGTTTTGGCTTAATAACCAAGTATCCAAGAATAACCAGAACAATTGGTAGGTTGAGAAGGCACTTTATTTTTTGACATATCCCAAGATGGTAGAATGTAACAGAAGCCTTGTTTCCTCTCAATAAAATCAGAATTCTTGAAAACAGCATTTTCAGTTAGAAAAGTTTATATAATCACAAAATTAAGGCCTTTGTTTCTATTTTGAAAGAATTTCAAATAATGGGCTCTCTCTATACATATTAAATTAGATTTGAAGAGTTTTAAGAAAATGAATATAGGTTTAAGCTGAAGAAAACTATTGTAGTGGATAGCGATTTGGATCTGAAAAGTAAAAGAGAAATCGATTTCATCACTCTTTTTATGGGCATAAATGGGGAAAAAGATCTTTAAACAAAAGCCATCTATAGATACATAAAGCTATATAAAGCTGTATAAAGCTGTACATATTACAAATGATGTATTATTATAAGCTAATTATTTTTAAGAATTTATGTTAACTTGGAAATAAGAATTTTTACTAAATAGTCGGATTTCTTTTTCTAGTTTGAATTACCTGTGATAAGAAACAAGAAGGGCACCTGGGTGGTTCTGTCAGTTAGGTGTCTGCCTTCAGTTCAGGTCATGATCTCAGGGTTCTGGGATTAAGCCCCACGGCAGGCTCCCTGCTAAGTGGGGAGTCTGCTTCTCCCTCTCCCTCTGTCCCTCTGCCCCGCTCATGCTCTCTTTCTCTCAAATAAATAAATAAAAATCTTAAAAAAAAAAAAAAAAGAACAAGATACAAGTGAATCTTGTTTTCATTTTTTAAAAAAAATTTTTTGAGGTAAGTGTATGACTGATATAGTTAATATTCTCATGTTATACCTGTATTCTTAAAAGTTTTCTTGGTTGGGGCGCCTGGGTGGCTCAGTTGGTTAAGCGACTGCCTTCGGCTCAGGTCATGATCCTGGAGTCCCGGGATCGAGTCCCGCATCAGGCT